GTTTTCAGAATGTTGTTCCTGTACGTCAAATAAAATAATAATAAAGAAGCAACCATTAGAAGATTTCGGCTTTTATCGTAGTGATGTGGAGTTGCGCTTCTTGTCTGTACCAAAGTTCTGAAGGTTTGAGGTTCCAGTGAGAGTCGACTTAGCAGACTGCCAGTATTGTGGAACTACCTTGTAGTTGGTGAACTTGAAGACGGCAACATGAGTTCAAGAGACGACGCTGGGGACTGAGGGGGCCAAGGAGGCCAAGACACCGCCGGCCGTGAAGATGCTCGAGTTGAAGAGCTAAAGATGAAAAGGAAAATTTTGTGGGGCAAGATCACACGTGGTGTGAACCGCATCTACAACTGCATGGAAGAACGCAGACTCACCAAATTTCGGGCCGACAAGGAATTGGCTATTCTACAGACAGAATTTACGGATGCCCGTGACATTAATGTCGAGATGTTCGTGCTGCCTGGAGCGGACTGCGAGAAATTAAAAAGATGGGAGACTGAGCTGATCGAGAGCTTTTACGACTTCGAAGAGTCTAATGCGATTACTTCGAAGTTCTGGACCTACCCGTCTCCGGCAAGTCCCTGACCAGACAATGTATGACAACTCAACAGCAGCCTGACCCGCCTCGGATGGCTAAAGAGTCCTACCCCGGAAAGCCTTCTTCAATAGACGAACGTCGATCTAATCATCTCCAAAATTCTGACCTGAGACCAACCAGTGAGGTCCCGTCTTCGTGTGACGAAGTATCATCACCACCACCACATTCTCAACCCGAAGACGATGTCATGCCCTCATCTGAAGCCGCACTAGTGTCCCCAGTTGAAGCCGGTGTGACGCATTCATCTGAAGTAGTTGGGATGCCTGCCCGTCCATCGAAAGATCCCTTTGACGCATGGATTGATGACGTGGTTGAATTTCAGGAGACTGTATTTCCTATGAACAATTCAGAAGTGACTGTTGCGGATGCATTATTTAGATTAGAAGCTGAAACACTGAACAAGTTTGATGGTGATCCACTGGGGTATGTAGATTTTGTTGATTCTTTCAAGATCCATTTCCATGACAAGCGTCACCTCACCGATGACTCGAGAATGATACAACTCAGGATGCATCTCACTGGTGAGGCTGAAAGGGCAATTAAGGGTCTGGGTTCTAGTGGCAAAATGTACCACTCCGCCTTAAAGATGTTGAAAGAGCAGTTTGGGTGTAGAAGTATAGTTGCCAGAAAGTGCATCGATAAGCTCATTAAGAGACCAAAAATTGGAAACCATGACCCATAGATCTCTACGCGATTTGTCACTTGACGTTGTGAATTGTCTTGCACGCTAAACCGTATCAATTTTCTTGCAGACGTTAATGTGCCAAATAGTTAAACGCTTACCAGACTACATGATTGTGAAATGGAAAGGTGTTGCGTCGCAAATTCGGGAGCGAGAGCAGTTACCCAACATCGCTCATATTGGTGAATTTTTTAAGAAACAGGTCAAGGCAGATTTTGACCCCGATTTCGGAGATCTTACATGTGACAAAGCAGATGACAGGGTGTCACAAAATCGTCCGAAATCAAAGGGTGTCCATGCTGTCAGCGAGAAGAAACCCCCAGAGAGAAGGCCTATCAAGTGTTACATCTGCAAATCCCCTCACAGAGTGACGGACTGTCCTGCCTTTCAGGATTCTTCCCCCACACATCGTTTCAAGATTGTGAAGGAACACCGCCTCTGCTTTTCCTGTCTCAACCAAGGCCACAAGGGTGAAGAGTGCAAGTTCAAGAAAAAATGCAGCAAGAACGGTTGCTCCAGAATGCACCATCCTTTGATCCATTTCGATCCCCCATCCAGCGGTGCAGTTTCCACCTTAGAAAAAGATGGGATTGTACCAGCTGTTTGCGTGTTTTCATAGCTGAGACTGGGAGAGTCAGGGAAGGTAATGTTCTCGTTGATAGTGGCGCGGCGACCACCATCATTCGCAGAGACTTTGGTAAGGCCCTAGGCCTGCAAGGTCAAAGAGAACCATTGGAAATTTCAGTGGTTGGAGGCTGTCGCTTGAGGCAGAATTTTAGTCGCTGGGTGAGGTTCTGGATTTCACCTATATCCAGTGGGGAAGATTATGAAATAGAGGCACATGAGATTGACCGTACTGTCCTTAGCGTCCCTCCTTTAGACCGTCAATGGCTCTACTCCTTTCCCCATATCTCTGATCTCAATTTTGCTCATCAGGCCGGACCGATTGACCTCATCCATGGAGTTCAGTACAGCCACCTCCATGCTGAAGAAGAGCTACGACAGGACCTACAGTTTGAGCCAGTTGGAAAGAAGACTCCACTTGGGTGGTTTGTAATTGGTCCAGACAATACGAAGTCTTCTACTTCAAGAGCGTCTGTTAGCACCGTCATCAAAGATCGTCTGGTTTTTAACCAACTGTACGACCTTGAAACATTGGGTCTAAGAGCGCAAACCTGTTCCTGTCCAGTGAACGGCATGTCCAAGGATGACACAAGAACAATGGAGATTTTTGCTAACTCCTGTCACAAGGGGGGAGACTGATATGTGATTGGACTGCCCTGGAAGAAGGACCCATCCCTCCTTCCAAACAATCGCCCCCTAGCAGTGAAACGACTGGCGTCTTCAGAACGGAGCTCGTCCAAGAATCCTGACAAAGCTAGCATGTACGACAAAGCAACCAGGGAGCATATGGATAAGGGTTGGGCCATCCAAGTGTCAGACGAAGCTGCTGAGGGACCTGTCTACTATCTGCCCCATCATGGAATATATCGACCAGAGAAGATCAGCACTCCGTTGAGAGTTGTCTTCGATCCCGCCAGCCAATATCAGGCAGTCTCACTGAATTCCTTTCTTTACGAAGGACCAAATCTTATCGGAAACCTGTTTCGGGTACTGTTACGTTTTAGAGAGGATTTAGTGGCGATTGTTGGAGATATATCAAAGATATTCCTTCAAGTTTTGTTAAGACCAGAGGATACTGAAGTCCATCGTTTTATTTGGCTAAACCTTGACAGTTCGAGAAAACCCGAAATCTACCGGATGACGAGGGTCACATTTGGTGATAAGCCTTCACCTGCTATGGCCAGCTTCGTCATACTGCAGATCGCTGAGAAGTTCAAGTCCATACTGAAGCTTCTTGGATACTGCAGCACGATAGATATATGGATAACCTAATTCATTCCTGTCCAACCACAACACAAGATATAAATTTGACATCGGATGTAGACCTCCTTCTCGAGGATGGCTCCTTTTCCGTGAAGAGATGGTATTGCTCGGCATCAACTCCAGTTCAGGAGGACTCTTGCATCAATCTTGGTGACGAAGAGATAATTAAGACCCTGGGAGTGTGTTGGAATCCGACTGAGGATGTTTTTCTTAACCTTCAATGTCAAGGAACCCGAAACCGAGGCCTTCACGAAGAGATCAGTCTTATCCAGGATGTCAATGGTATTTGATCCACTGGGGTTAGCGACACCCGTGACCATTAGAACGAGAATGGCAATGCAGTCTCTTTGGTGGATGGATAGGTTGGGGTGGGACGATGAACTTCCCCAAGATTGTGTAGAATTGTGGACCAAACTATTTGAGGATATCAAGGGTCTCGAGGAGATAAAACTGCCGAGGAGTATCAAGCCAGCAGATGCAGTTGGAGTCCCAGCGCTACAATGTCTTTGCAGATGCGAATTTCTTGGCCTATGGGGCTGTCGTCTATATGCTCTGGAACACTCAAAATGGTCCCTGCATTCGTCTTTTCGCAGCAACGGCTAGAGTTACCCCTCTTCGCCAGACTACCATCCCACGACTGGAATTAATGGCTGCGCTTATAGCCTCTCGCTTGGCCAAGACGCTTCACACTGAGCTATGAGAAAAGCCACAGGTTCATCTTTGGACTGACGCCCGCATCGTTCTTCTCTGGTTACGGTCTGAATCCATAGATCTCAAGCCTTTCGTAGGAGTGCGTGTTGCAGAAATACCGTCAACTGGTCTCCAGACCTATGGAATCATGTACCCACAGAATCCAACCCTCCGGGGCCACAGAAGCCAACCCTACGGATGACCTTAGTCGCGGCCTGACGGCCATTGAAATGAGATCACGATTGATCAATGGGCCATCCTTTCTCCGGCAACCAAAGACGGAATGGCCAGCACAAATCAAAGAAAAAGTTACCTTGGAAGATCCGGAGCGGTAAAGGCCGAAGTTAGTTTCTACCGTAGCAGGAGCGAAATCCATCCCCCGATAGAGTGCGTGCGATTTTCAAGCTGGGGAAGACTGCGTAGGGTTACAGCTCTCTGCCTGCGATTCATTTCAACTTGAAATCCAGGAGACAAGACCAGATGAAAGGAACAGGTGCTCTCGTGCTAGACGAGCTCAAGGACGCTGAAACCTATTGGTTAGTGCAAGCTCAAAAGGATTTGGGAGATTGGTCTATCAGGTGTCGGGATCACACCCCATTTATCGACGAAAATAACCTGATAAGAGTTAGCAGACGACTGAGAAACGCAAGCTTTCCTTATGACGAAATTCATCCCATTCTTCTGCCATCTTCGGGACACATATCCCGACTGATTATGAAGGATGTCCATAATGCAAGGGCTCATCCAGGAGCGGAGAGAACGTTGAGCGACAGCAGGAGAAAGTTCTGGATTCTCAAGGGACGGAGTCTTGCGAGGGAGGCGGTGAGACTATGCGTGATCTGTCGTAAACTCCGTTAGTCTCCACATGTCACTTTGATGGCAGGAGAAAGTTCTGGATTCTCAAGGGACGGAGTCTTGCGAGGGAGGCGGTGAGACTCTGCGTGATCTGTCGTAAACTCCGTTAGTCTCCACATGTCACTTTGATGGCTGGTTTACCACCAGAACGTCTGAGAATGTTTTCGCCACCATTTCCAACCGTTGGCGTTGATCTATTCGGTCCTTTCCAGTTGAAATACGGCTGTAATAAGGCGAAGAAAGCTTGGGCAGCCATATTTACTTGTGCCACAGTTCGAGTGATCCACCTGGAAGTAGTAGAGGATCTTTCGACCCAAGCCTCCATGCGTGCTATTCGACGATTTGCAGCACATTATGGTTGGCCTTCAACACTGATACATATATCTGATAATGGCACTTCCTTCATTGATGCAGAAAAGGAACTCAAGAGGCTGTTCACAGAGAGACGGGAGCTGGAAGACTTCGCATTTCTCCACAAATTGAAGACGCGGTTTATCACATCCGTTAGTCCTCATCAGGGAGGATTCTATGAGAGTCTTATTAAGCAAGTGAAAACCGCTCTGAAAGTTTCAATTTCAGGCCAGATTCTGGCGTGGAATGAAATGACCACAGCCTTCAGTGAAGTGAAAGGTCTTCTTAATTCCAGGCCAATCGGATATTCATCTGATGACCAAATGATTTCAGACCTCTTACCCCCAATCATTTCATGATTGGGAGAGCTTCCACAGATACCCCACAAGGTCAGTTCAACGAGACTGGAAACTTACACAAACGCTCCGAGTTCATTCAGGGTCTTGTCACGCAATTCTACAGACGCTTCAAAAGGGAATACCTCCACACATTCATGTCCAGACAAAAATGGCGAAGCGCTGGTCGACAGTGAGCCGTTGGGGATGTCGTGTTGCTCACAGACGACAAGCTCGCCCATGGTAAGTGGAGCATGGCGCTAATCATCGAAGTGTTTCCTGGAGGTGATGGAATAGTTAGAAACGTCCTGGTAAAGACCCCGTCTGGGGAGAAAAGGTGGAGCGTACAAAAGTGTTGTCTTATCTTGGAGGGTTGGATTGAATAACAGCTAGACTGCTGCGTAAGAAAGCGTGCGTCCGCGCCCAACTAAATAACAATGAAATTCTTTGTTTTGGTTTTGAATCATTCCGTCGTATCCCGTGAACGGTACAAGTCCGGT